CTCAAGCTACACCAAGCTTACAGTTTGTAGATGTTGTTGAGTGACACTATATACACTGCCTGGTCCTGAGAATTCCTCACAATTACCACTGTTTGAGCTTACTGGTGCAGTCACTCCATTGATCCATCTCCTTTAGAATCTTCCACTCTTTTGTTCCTCTTTTTTGCTGTGTACTTTACCAAGCATGAGGCCCTCCTCTAGGAATCGGACCTTCTAGACAGCTATCCCTGCTTTTAAGCAGCATTCTGACAGGATCAAGCACGTTTAGGGTGATATGGCCATAGACCATATCAGCATTCTGACTATACTTTTTCCAGGGCAGATTTGTTCATTCTTTTGGCAATCACGTTGCTAGGTACCCTGAGGTTGGCTCTGACTCAGTGATCCTGCAAACAGAACAAAACCTTGTCTAACTTGCAACAATCTCATAATCTCTGCTGTACTTAAGCCTATGGTTGCAATTACTGCGTCAACCTATCCATCCTCTCTTTTGCTGGCCCTCTATTTTTCCAGGCACAATGAACTCCAGGAACTGGCCCCTCTCAAGCCTCAAGAATATAGTCTTACCATGCTTGCATCTAAGAGGTACTCTGGCTGCACCTTTTCCAAGACAGAGTTGTCTATTCTTTGGTAATACATGGTATATTCAACATTCTTACCAGCACCACAATTCAAGTACATCAACGCTTCCTTATTCATTGTCAAATGTTGGTGTGCATACAAGGTACAATTAGGGATTTCTCTACCCAGATAGATGATCCTTCCACCATGTAGCTTCTAGAGGTCTTGACTTCTTCTCTAGTGATTCTTTCCCACTCTTCCAAGGTCACTTTCATCTTGCTTCAATAAAGATTGCCTCGCCTTTTTGTCTAACATCTTATTAAGGGTGCACTGTGGTAGCTCCTCTTTGAGCTTCGCAATGCCGCCCAAGGACGACAAGAAAAAGAAAGATGCTGGAAAGTCAGCCAAGAAAGACAAAGAACCACTGAACAAATCTGAGGGCAAGACTAAGAAGAAGAGGTGGTCCAAAGGCAAAGTTTGGGACAAGCTCAACTGTAGAAGTTTCCAATGATAAGCTTGTAACCCTGTCTGCTGTCTTTGGGAGACTGGAGATTTGGGGTTCCCTGACAAGGCCAGCCTTCAAGAGCGGCTAAGTAAAGGACTTACCAAGCTGTATTCAAAACACAGAGTTCAAGTAATTTATACCAGAAACACAAAGGGTGGCAAAGCCCCAGCTGCTGGTGAAGATGCACAACAGGTCCAACCAATTGGAGAGTTTGGAAAAGAAAACTTTATCCAATTAAAAAAAAATAAAGATAACCTTTTCAGAGTCTCAATTTCATGACTCTCGCTTATCACCTTTCTTTCTAGTTAATTTGCTCCAACAATCCCTTGGCCCTACTGCTTTCCCAGGGCCCCCTCATCTCCCTCAAGAACTCACATATATTAAATTCCATCATCAATCATTTTAACTACTTCCTTATATTTTTCTCGCACTCTCCACTATCCACCACTCTTAGCTGACACGACCTATGCAGCTCCTTGCAATGGAGCAGAAAGCTCTGCCTCCTGCTTCCTGAGAAGATCGAAGCCATTCTGAGCAGGGACATCTCTGCAGTCACACTAGGCCTTGCCAAATAGTATTTGTGTGGATTAAGGCAGGCTGTAACTTCATCACCACCCTAGGCTTGGATTAAGTAATAGACAAGTTCAGAGTAAGCAGCAACAAATGCTAGCCTGCAACCCAATTACAGGTGCAGTAACTTGAAACACATCCCCAACAGAAGTGCTTCCAGAAGTGACAGTGAATTGTGGTTTGAATCGCAAGAATGGGCCAGAGCCTGCATTCCTGCTTGCTAGTCCTCCAGAATAGGGTCCCTTCCCACTGGACTGAGGCATTCCCACTAGCTCATTTTCTCTTCCTGTCTTGAGCATAGGGAGACCAACCAGAGTCTCCAGAAACCTCACAGGTGACTTGGTGCACACAATCCACCTGCTTTCTCTCTTTTCCCCAGTACACTGGCATAAGCAGCTCTGTACCATGTGACTCCTTCTTGCTTCTCCCACTTCATATCCGCCTCCAATTCCCCCTCCCTTATTCCTGCCAGGCTGGTTCTTTTTCTTGAATACACCTAGTTCATTTCCATCTTCACACTTGTGTTGTCTAACTGGAAGAAACCTGGTTAGCTAAGAGGTATTGTAATATGCTGCTAAGTTTGGTGTCTCAAACCCACCCAGTGGCTCCACAGAATAAAGGCCTTCTGGAACAAGGGGTACACTGAGGTGAGGGTTAGGGGAGGGGGGAAGAGAAAGTGTAACAAGAATGAAAACAAGACAGTTTTGAATTTTTTTAAAAGAAGTATTGTATTGCATCAGGCAAATCTGTTAAGAACCTCTATAAAGTGCTAAAGAGCAGGAATATCTCTTCCTTCTTTCTTTCTCTCTCTCCCTCTTTCTTTCTAGATATATAATTATATTTTGTGCATGTACCATCAAATCAGATCTGACTGGTACAGGAGGAGATTGTCCCTCTTCCAGCCGAGCAACTGGTAGATTCGAACCGCATACCTCTGGGATTGCAGTACAGCTTCTTGCCACTAGGCCACCAGAGCTCACCAGAAATATCACTTTAAAGACTATTACTGGCTGGACCCAAGCGACCCTGCTTTCAATTACTTCACATACTTGGGAATGTTGGACAATGAATAAAGAAGATGGAAGAAGAAAAGACTAAAGGCCTGGGAAACAGTAGGCCCTGACTTATGAAATATTCAAGTTTACAAAGAATGTCACTTAAGAAACCTGTTTTTGTTTTGTCTTATCATTAAATGATATGCATTACATAAAATGATGCAGCACCTAACTTGCCGATGTTATCATTTTCAGATGTTCACTGTTAGGATTTCTATAGACACTGATAATAAAAGGCAAAAACAACGAAAACTAAAAAAAAAAAATGGAAAAAGAGGTATTTGAATTAGATCAGAAAGAACAGACTTAAGATGGGATCATTAGAACAGAAACCCATTTTATATAAAGTAACAAAAACTCAGATCTAAAGAAGAAGATCACAGCCAAGAGAATCTTATAGAGTAGTTCTACTCCCTGGCACCCCAGGGTTGTCCTGAGTCAGGGTCTGATGGAATGAGAGCTGCTAACAACCACCCCACCACCTCCAACAGGACACTAGTGACAAGATCTGTGCAGCCATCACTCCATTCTTCCTGTTAGAGCTCAAATGTCATCCCCCTAACCACCAGAGCCTTCTTTCATCCTGTTCCAGCCCTTCACGCTGCTCTCTTCGATCTTGTGGTAAGTGCTCTTTATTTAGCTGTTTATTCACTGTCTCTCCCATTAGGTTACATGCTCTTTGAGAGCATGGGCCTGGCTTGTCTAATTCACAGCTGTAGCACCAAACACACAGTAGGGGCTCAGTTAGCTCTGCTGCATGAATAAATTCTTCTAGCAAGAGAGTGCTTTTCAAAATTTATTTGAACATACCACGGACTGGCAAAAGGACAAATGAGGATCTTCTGGAAGAAGTGTGGCCAGAGTGCTCCTGGAAGAGAGGATGGTGGAGACTCTGTCTCACATAATTTGGGCACGTTCTCAGGAGAGACTCATCCTTGGAGATCATGTTTGGGAAAGCAGAGGGTCAGCAAGAGAGAGGAAAACCATCAACAAAATGGACTGGCATAACATGGCGGCTGGCATAATGAGCTCAAGTGCAGCAGGGGCTGGGGATGGTGCAGGATTAGTCAATGTTTCTCTCTGCTGTACATACGAGTTAGAAGGTCACTCAAAAAAGTATCTAACGACAACTTGAACTTGTCCAAGCAATCAGAGTTATAGCAACAGTTGTTCAAAGACTTTTTACTTCAAACTTCCTAAGAATGCAGAGGTTTCAATCAGACGTTGTCGCGGCCAACCTCATTCCTAAGGCCTAGTGGATAACCAAATTCCAGCTTTTCAGTCCCTGCCCTCCTAGGCCCAGCAGCTCTAGTGCATAATGAGTTACACTGCTACAGCAAAAGCCATGCCGCTGGCAGTTCCAACCCACCTGCAGCTCCTCTGGGAAAAGGATGGACAACCTTCTCCCATACAATGTAGAGCCCTGGAAACCAAATAAGGGCTCTCATATGAGTTGGTTCTGACTCCCTGGCAACAAATTTGAGTTTTGGGGTACATTTTTTTATCATTATTTTACTCTTATGCCAAGGCACCCTCACCCTTGCACTTTGACTTGGCATGACTTTCTCTTCTCTAGCACTTCTGATTCTTTGCTTTTATTTCCTTGGGAACTCTGAGGAACATCTTGGCAACATAATTCTACTGTTCAAAGGACTGTTGGGAAGACCAACAGATGCACTATAGGAGTGAGGGAACGCCTGGGCAGTGGAAATGTTTAAACGTTCAGCTCCTAACTGAAAGGTACCTGGTTCAAATCCAGCCAAAGGAACCTTAAAATATAGGCTTATTGATCTAATTCCAAAATACGACAGCCAATGTAAACGCTTTGAAACGCAGTTTGACTCACAAGGAGTCAGGAGTTAGAATCGACCCAAGAGCAGCTGGTTTCCAGGTGCGACTGTATATCTCTCCTCTGGTGCTAAAACCATCGACAGGATCTCGACATCGGTTCAGGTTAAGCCTCCTCCGACTGTCAGACCTGCTCTCCCCTGGTCACGGAACTTCATTCTGCCAGGAAGAGGCTGGCCATCGGTTTAGCTTTAACCCGGCTTCTGGTGCCACTTCTTGATCAATATCCCAAGTGTCCTCTCTGACCCCAAAAAACCTTCTTAATCTGCAAGCCTCCGCTCCTCATTCTTAAGGGCTCTCACTGCTTCTTAAAGTTTAATAGCCAGAGATGGTGTAATCACTCACAACCATGAACTCAAATCTCCCTCCATTTTCTCCCCATTCAGACTTTGTCCAGGGCCCTCTCGAATTCCAATGTGTCCCCAAGGCTTCCCGGCCATCCCCTCCGTCCAGGAACTCACCGTGAATGATCCGTTCCTCGTCGGCGGCCTCGGCCCCGGACAGGAGCAGGGATGCCAGCAGCGCCAGCAGCGCCCCGCACCGGCTCGGCCCACACAGCGGCGCCATGACAGCTTCCACTCCAACGCGCGGGAACAGGCCGGCCTCGGGGTCTCGCGATCCGGAGCGGAGCGACCCTCGTCGCGCACGCGCAGTTCGTGGGCAAGTGCTGCTCTGCGCTCACGCCGAGGGTTCCGGGAAGCCCCTTCCTCGGACTTTGGGTGAGCAGCCGCGCTCTTTGCCTCCCTGCCGCGCGCTTGCCGGTACAGCGCTCCGCTCCGCACTCGCTGCCCGGCTTCCTAACGACGCCCGGCCGCTCTCCCGCCAGCCAGACTGTCTCAGGTCGGGACGCTCGACGGCTACAACAGTAAATGGCGGACGCTTCGAAGCAGCCACGAACGGTAACCGCCCTAGCGGGAGGCGGGACTCACCTGGCCGGGCGGCCCGTG